ACTCCCCATCAACCGGCGACTGACAAATGATGAATTGAAAGAGTGTTGTACCCTTTCGAAATATGGTGCTCCGTCACCTGAGATTCGGCAGTACGTCGCCGACCGCTTTGGAAGGGTACTCACTATCGAGGATGTGCGTAACTATCGCGTGAAAAGTCGACCTCCATTGTTAAGAGTCGTTGGTTACCTTTTAGTCGGTTCCTTAGATGACATGCCATCCGTCACAGCCAAGTTTCGACAGTGCGGTCGGGTGCTGCTGGTGGATTCGGACGACGGTGTTCCCTGTGGTCTCTGTGGTCGGCCAACTGACCCTGCTGATTGATGGTGTCAACGTGATCGACTCCCATACCACCGTTATTGCTGCGGCAATGAGCCATGCCCGCTGTGTGGAGAAAATCTTCAGGCGCGTTAACCAGGTGAGTAATAATAATAATAATGTATATTAGTTTCCGGTCAGTCTACTGACCGGCCAGATAAAAGAGCATGCTTTGATGTCGATCTTGATCAGTCCGTGGAGGACAAGCCGAGTCTGCCCCGTAAGACAGTCGCAATCAAACTGTTTTGTCCAATTTCGGAGTTGATGGGGACCGTAATTTGAGGCCCAATTTCTTAGCATACGGCTTGTGGACCTTGCTTTCGAATCCCTTGATGACGAGGAATTCGTGTGATTATAACTTAAATGCCGAATCAATGAATCCGTGGCGGTCCGCAACGACTGTATATTTATCCCTCATCCCGGGAATGGGAATTATGAACCACTAGGTAAGCAAACAACTAAAATTTCATTGCATCCAGATGCTTAAATGCCGTTCCCGAAGATTAATTGCTTGCCCATTTCCCGTTTCAGAATCCTTGTCGTGAATTGGAACTTAAGAAAATGAAAAATTGAGTGACTACCAATTAGGCTTGTATCAGTGATGTTAATGAATAAAATGCAATTCGCCACTGGGGTTTTCGTAGATTCCTGGCGGGCGCATTATCAACGCGTGGAGTTATGAGTATGGAGCGCCCGTCGTTGTCCCTTGTATCACGTTACCGTGCATAGTTGAGGCCTCATAATCTGCGTCGCGAATAGCAGCTACGCTGAGTAGTCGAGGTGAGCGACAGCTCATTGTTTCGGGTAATGGAGGGAGTGGTCGAGGGGGTACAATCAAGAGTAGGAGTTGGGAGCGTGTTATCAAATTGGGTGGTGATTGCAGTTTGACAGGTGATGACCACCGTTGATCTTTGGGTTAGTCTCTTATGTGTTGCCGGGACGTTGTGGTTAACAACGAGCATGTGTACGGGCCTGGCAGTTACTATAGATAGCCACCGTAGGTTACATCGACTACAATTGTGATGTTTACTGAAGGTAGCTAACATAAAAGGCATCGAGTAAGTATGAGTATAACGATAAATAGCCAAGTTAGGTGACTTCGAGCTGTGAGTATAACAGGCTGTCAGATTTTGCTATCACCCATAGTTGAGTCCTTGTTTTTACCGGTCGGCATATGTATTGGATTGATGTTTACTGTAGGTAGCGGAAATAAGCAACATCGCGTATAGTATGAAAGACCGTCAGCTTTATATTCAACGTTGCACATAGACACAGGTCTTGCAATTACGATAAGCAGCCAAGGTAGGCGATATCAACTTCAGTTACGAGCATGACCGGCAGCCGTTGGTTGTTAAGATGTCACGCATAGTTGGAACCTGGTTTCTATCGGCCCGCATAGATACTGGCTTGAGGTTTACTGTAGGTAGAGGGCGGGTACGGCAGTGAAGATCGGTGTTTACCACTGATTTCATGCTCTCCATGATGATATAAGTAGCAGACGTAAGCGAGAGCGCGCACATTTATGGGTATGACGGGCCATCGTTGGCAGTTAAATCAGGACACTTCGCATAGCTGAGGCCTACTATACAGCGTCGCATATAGGCACTGGCCTAGCAGTTTCAATAAGTAGTCAAGGTAGGCGATATCGTGTACAGTTTTGAGTATTAGGTCCATCGTTCGCCATTAGATTAGGTATGTATGCACAAGGACACTGACTCAACATGTACGATCAGCAGCCACGTTAGATGACTTCGAGTACAGTTGTGCGTATAACAGGCTGTCAGATGTGGCTATCACGCATAGCTGAGGCCTTATTTTTACCGGTCGGCATATATATTGCACTGAAGCTTACTGTGGCTAGCGAAGACAAGCGGCATCGCGTATAGTTAAGGGTATAAAAGACCGTCATTGACCATCGGATTATGTTACTGTGCATAGGTGCAGTCCCATTATCAACGTTGCACATAGACGCGGGCCTAGCAGTTACAACAGGTATTCGAGATGAGTGAAAACCAGTAGAGATACGAGCACAAGGGGTCGTCGTTGCTCATTGGATTGGGCTGTACGCATATGTGAGGAACCGTAATTAGCGTCGCACATAGACACGGATCCAGCAGCTACAATACGTAGCCGAGGTGAGTGCCAACGGCTAACGTCATCGTGGTGACCGTTTTATGGTGATCACCACCTATAGAACATCATAGTTATAATAGGAAAGACGCTCACAAACATCTCATAACATTGTACTATCTAAAGCTAATCATGCATATCTGAGAAAGGAGATCATCCACAGATGGCCCCTGCACTGCCCCCGCAAGTTTGTGCTGTTATCTAACTTTATTGCAATTAATGGAATATGAGGTCCAAGAGGAAAGTGTGTTGTGAGCAGGTTCGCCGAACAAAAATACCTCATTTGTTAAATCTGAGGTGTCTAAAGCAAACAAACGCCTACGACTGATCCTACAGGGTGGTATTTGCATTAAATACTCTTAAGATATTAGTTTATTCTTCAGGAACACCGAGAAACGCCAAAATATGCTAAAGTGCAATCTCGTGTTTTATGTCGCGTAAACCGGTAAAAAATGCAAATCGGCGATGGTCAATGACCTTTGCATTTCGCTCACTTAAACAAAATGCCACGTGCAGCATGTCACGGGAAGGTGCAAATTGATTAGACTAACTCCCCATTAAAACAGCAACTTCGAAAACCCTATAGTTTCGGCGAACTCAATTTGAGTGTGCCAATAGCCTGCGGCGGCAAAGCCAACGTCAGCCATTAAAACACGAATTCCGCGCCAATAGTGGACTCCGAATTCGTTTAAACAACTTCTAATAAAACTGCGGCAGCATGGGGAGATCTTAGGCACTTGTATGATTACCATCAAGTGCCAAAATTTTATGTTACATTTCCCTTTTGGAAATTTACGGCGTGAGTTTGGAACGCGGCTATATCGCTCCTTCCTTCAGACTACCATTCTAATCTGACACCAAACGCGATTCATGTTGCTCCGAGACTACGAGTTCTGGATTATTTTTTGGGTGTCTACTCACTGGGCCTACTGCACCCGTCTTATTTGAACCGTGGATCGAGTGTAATGTAGTTCCGGAAGCTGAAGCAACTATGTCACGTATTACGGCTGCCGTTTCTGTACGCTGTCCCTTCCACACCGTCATAAAGGGTAGCCAGGCGCGGATCGAGCTAATGCAAACGAAATGACCTGTGTTCTCACTCAGAACTAAAACTGCAAAATTGTTTAAACCCATGGAAATTTTCATGCGTTTTTTCGACTTCGTTGTCAGTGTAAATACCCGTGGAGATATTTTTGATTAACAAGTAACGGTACAACAATTCAATCGAGCATGTAAGGGTAGCAAAATATGTCTGTTACAACAGACGTTGTGGATAGCAATTCAAGGTAGGTAGCACTTCCTTGTGGTTGAATTCTCCGCATCACGTTTTGAAAAGGTCTGCGTTGGTTCAAGTGACGGAACTTTCGGAGAAACCAGTGAATCCAAAACCGAAGCGTCTAGCCTCAAAGAAAGAAATTTTAGATGAATATATTAACGAGAGTACACTGGTATTGTTTTGATGTTTCTTGAAATTATTTACAGAAAGTGGTATGCAGAAAGGACGACTTGAGTGCTGTCACTGTACTGGATATCCAAATAGATGTGGGAAAAGTTTCATGTGGAAATTTCGGTGCTCTTCTTCCTAACTTGCGCCAACTGCGTCTTTCAAACAGCTACGTACCTGCCATTAGGTTCGCCAACTTACTTTGTTATCTTCATGCTTTAACAGGGAATTAGGGAGCGAATTCTCCAAAATCGAGGTGCTGTGGATGCCTCGTTGTTGTGTTACGTGTCTAGATGGTGTATCTGGCATGAAAAGTATCTCCGAACTCTACTTGGCTTTCAACGAAATCACCGACTTGAGTCCATGTTTAAGTCTAGTCCTTCTTGAGGTACTAGACCTAGAGGGGTAAGCTGACGATATTCTTGTATTTTTCAGGAACCTCGTAGGAAATAGGGAGAATCTAACTTACCTGAAAACATGTAGCAAATTGTCAACACTAACGCTCGAGGGCAACCCTATCATCGGTAGCTGCGGTGGCGTGAAAGTAAGTTACACTTATGAAAAGATATCGTTACAGGGTTACAGAGAGCTCGTTCGGAAAACTCTGCCACAAGTTCGTGTGCTGGATGATTCTCCAGTCGAGGACCCAGCTATTAATAAAGTTACCTACGATGTAACGGATTTTGATAATGAATGGAAGTATATTAACGATGTTCTCAGGGAGGTTGGTCTAATATCCGATGGACAGGTAGGCCTCCATTGATTTTTTAAAACGCGTTGGTAGATCACCGTAAACGCTTTGTCTCTCTCCGCCGATCTTGCAAAAATGAGCAGCTGGAGACCTTACTAAATTACATGTGCAAACTCAGCACCGTTTTATACGCTTACCAATATTTTAACCACGGTATTTTCAATCCAACTGCTCATATTGAAGTATTCAGTTATTATGTAAGCACAGCATCACGAAAATTATGTATTTCATTCGTGATGTTCCAAAGCAGTAGTCTGATCACGATTTTCAAAGGTACAAAATGAGGACAAAATTGGATGGTGAATAAGCCGAACAGAGTAGGATTAAACCTTGAACAATGAAGCTTATTGTCCCAATGCTGTGATAATAAATGCATGACTTCACATGCCGCTAAACTTGAAGATCATTTTTGAAGCGCACTAAAATGCGTCGGATGAAAGTTTGAAGATGTTTGGGTATAAAGCAATTGCTAATGTTGACTGTTATGTAACCAACAGCACAGCTGAAGTGGAGTCAGTTCTCATGGATTTTTACTTGAGTATCTAGTAAAGGTGGTCCGACGTGCTTTTGGTGAAAGTTGAACTCATTCGCGGTAAAATTGACTTGTAACACTGGGTGTAATATTTTTGTGATTATTCCTACTGCTTTTCGTTTGCAATCATCGGGTAACTTTCGTACTATATTCGGGTCACCCCCTTTGTATAACTCAATAACATTCTCAGTTCTGTTGGTTGATATCACTGTTGGAGTTTGCTAAGTTCACACTTAAACATATTTTAGTGGCAGTGAATTATGATCAGGCAGTCTGTATCGAGTTCTCGATCTTTGATAATTTCTTGCCTGCGCGGCCCACATATATCTGGAACACTAAAGCTTGGGATAAACTTATGACTTATTTTAACTGTTCTTCCGCGTGATGGGGTAATATTCTTTGCAACACACATGGACGATGTCCTTTCACTTTCGTGTCCCGTCAAAAAAGAGCTGGCTAGTGGTGTTCAGTCAATAATATCCGGTATATTTCTGAAGTTATTTGCTCAAATAAAACTGCACCTTACCCCGTAATTCTTATCTTTGGATCTTTCTGATGCAAATAAGTTTTGACAATAACTCAGGTACACTTCAACGTACAACCCACATTGCTACTACGGTTTCCTTTTGGTTGAACGTTTGAAACAACAAGAATAATTGACGAAACCAATGGCGCTTCTTTACGGTCTTGGTCTTGATCGCATTGCCATAATCGACAGCTTAACATCCGTATTGAACTCTGATATAATGTTGTCGATGATGATGATATTTTCTGCGGCGCAAACATAAGTTATCTGAAGGCCCAATTGTGAGGAGAAGAGTAGACAAGAATGTGGAAGAAACTTTGTGCCAGCCTACTCCAAAAATTCAAAATTATATAATCTCCAGACAGGCATTTGGCCAATATGGATAGGAGCTGACAAAAATAATGCCACTGATAGCCTTATAGCCATTTCTTTCAGCCTGCCTGACTATCACACAGGAATCACGCGGATGCCATCCTGTAAGGCCAGTCCCAGAGAGGTTACTTCGATTCTTTTATATCCCTCTGTCAGGATAAAGACCAACCTAAAATTAGCAAAAAAACAGAACCCTTTTTGGTACAACGATTTTTTGGTCTGAGTAACGTTTGGCTTACCCGCCGCAGTTTTGATGCTGGACACGTCCTTTGATTGCACTTCTGGCTGCACAACTAAATGCTCGTTTCCTATCTGTTTCTTTGCGAATTCGCCGATACTTGCCTACATGAGCCATGTTTCTGATAGACGTCCCATGTCCGCGACTTGCATGATCCAGGTCTGGAAACCGTACAACAAAATGGTTCATACGGTATCCTGGTGCACAAATCCCTTGAGATTCATGGATAAGTCGCTTTTCCTCCATTTATCCCACATTAGCAAACGCGACCCGAGTTTTTCAGACTTGCGAATTGATTTCAAACCACATTTGGAACTAATGAAACTTTTTGATACACTGCACATCCTGGAGTGCCCTTGCCTGGGTTGTAAGTGCCCTATTTAGTGACTGCATGCTTGGAAACATAACACCAAACGTTTTAGATGAAGAAGAATACAAACAGGCGAAATGAATTGCGCCGGTTTGTCAAAAACTCTGCTCATTTTTCTCATTTTCGGAGACGAGAACGATAATACATGTATATCTCAGATTGACAAGATTTTCATCAGTAGCTGTCCGAACAGCAAGAGTTGGAGCATCCTACAGTATCTCATTTTCTCACAGATTACAAGATAAAATAAGAATAAAGAGATTGGGAATTATTCTCCGACATCATTTTGTCTACGGAAGTTCTTGGAATGATGCTCGTATGCTCCTTCGCTTCTAGGAGTTTGAAAATACAAAACGCACGGTACAATACCGTGTCAATACGACAAACTTCTCGGACACTTCTTGCTGAGAAGACATGTCAACAGAAATTAACAGGCCAACTTAGTTGATTACAACTTGAAAATCTGAGAACGCCGAAAGTGCTTATACCGATGGAATTTCTTGTGTCTGGTTTTACGTTCACCTTGTAGAGGAGCTTCATTTGCTCGATTTACCTATTTAGCTATTTGATCTCAATTCTAATAACAAAATATCTCATCCATTAGTGATTGGGGATTGTTATTAAGCTTCAAAGTGCAGCTTCTGAAGCGGGACAAGTGTAACGTTTTGGAATGTTGATGCGCTACGAATAAAGGACCAAGTAAAAAGCTCGTTCGTCAGTGCTTGTAATTTCACATAAACTTATGAACTTTAACAGTGACAGATGTTCACATTCTTGCCAACTTACGTATGATGATGGAGAAAAAACAAAGATGGACCAGGATTACAGAAAATTAAATTGTGCTAAGAAGAAATCTACCAAAAAAGTTCTTGGGGATCCTTTGGTAGTTTTCAACTCCTCCTTATCCGCAACTTGAAGATAAGGGGTAGCAAATCTTGAGTTTTTTCCTTGAACTTTTTTAAACCACGTAAATTTGCTGTAACTTAACGAGAACTCCATTGGGTGAGTTGTTGTTACTACACTCAGTAGTATCATATTATGGCAAATTCACTTTAGTTATTGCGTTATCAACGGAGATAATCCCTACGGACAAAGTAACCTAGTCTGCATAGCCGTCACTCGATGGGGAAGCATATTGACGGATCGATGCAGTTCGTGTAGAGTTATGAATGTTGCCCACAGTGAGAAATCGAGTCAGTCAGTGCTCCGAAATTTTGATTCTACTGCCCTGCTGTTCAACTGTGTAGCATCATGTTGTGCTCTGTGTTAGCACAAAGCAAATGTTCAGCTTGACTTTAATCCAACATATGAAGCCATTCAACTTGACATTGTTCAAGCCTGTCGCTTATTCGTTTTTTCCGATGAGTGTTTTTCTGCTCCTATCTATGAGGTGATGTGCTACATACATTGTTGAGCAAATAGTATTCTTTACCGTGAGTTAACCAGTATCAGTCAGTGTCACTTTCGATTTTGAAACAGATGAAATCAGCTGAAAAAGACAACGAACAATGCAAAGCCATACAACCTTCAGCACCATCATCCACTGCCCCGAACCCGGTAATTTATCCTGGACGGCCTGGAAGTGGGATACGACCGAGTTCGGCACAGAAGCGCCTGAGGTCGGTAAAAGCAGGGCGAACGGAATCACCGAATCTCCCTCAAGCTTCATCGATCTCATTGCGTCCAGCATCGAGTTCATCCCAAATCACGGAAACCGAGGGTATGTTTTCTACAACGTATATTTTGTTCTTGGGGATTTAAACGGGTTAGAGCTGAAAAAATCCTGAATGAAGGATCCGCTATTCTTATTCGCACGAGACTGTTTGGTTGCTAAAACATCTACTGGAATAGTCTGGAGCAAATGACCGTGCCTTGTCGTCAGAGTTTTGAACCAAAGACTTTTGCTTCCTGACTAGTTTTGGACGCCCTAACAGTATCTCAGCCGACATAGCCATGAACTTCAAAGACAAAAAAACTTCATGCCACATCGGCCGTCGACTGATGACATCAATCTGGTCACCTATTCACCCCGAAAACGTGCGACCACTAGCGTCTTTTATCCTTCTTCATCGTTACCTTCTCTCTCCCGATCTACCTCACTTGACACTCACTCTTCTGTAGTACCCAGCTATAGGAACGTCAGTCAGGCACCTGTGTAATTGATACATTGCACGCCAACATTCATATCTACAGCTTTGTGTCCGCTATAAAGGCCTCGTTTCCTTGTTTCAAATACAGTTTCTAACGTAAGAACTACCGGGTAGATTCTGGAAAATGCCGCTCTCGCGCCTACTCTAGACATTCCGTCGATTTAGGTATGCTGAATCTTAAAACTTTGAATAAAAGGTCGAACTACTGTCACTTGATTTAGGTCGAACTCTCTAGTTAGGAGCTGTAGACAACGAAATTTGAGGGCTTCTGAAGCTATTGTAGCGGGTTACGCTGGTGTTTTCATAGACCTCAGCTCACTCGAATGGATATCTACAAACATTCGATCTTGCATTGTCCGAATTTTCACTTGAAAATTCGCACTGGTCGAAACGTCGTGCGCTCTCTGTTTTTCATGCCCATTTTTGCACTAACGAACTGCGGCTCCGTTTTATTAGACGACACATTCAGTTGCAAGACTTTATTTAGATAAACTGACATGATTATGCAGCAGCGGAGCACCATTCTTCTCCGCTGGTACTGTTGTCAAGGATGGTGATGATAATGATAGTCCTCCATAAGGAAACTCTTTTCCACCCTGAGAGCTCGGATGTAGTTACAGCGCAGGAATATTTCAGCGCACATGTAGGACATCTGCGTCCATTAGAAATCATGCCTTAAGTCCATGTTTAGCCTGAGAGCACATTACAGTGATAATGTTGAACGTATTTTGCAACTTTGCGATGATCACCGGTTGTTTCACAGCAGTACTGTGCTTAGACGCAGTTGACACCATTGTCTTACCTGGCGTTCCTCTGCCTTTGAGCAGCCTCGGAGGCAAACTGACCACGTTGCCATGGCGTGGCTCAGTTGTTGATTGTCAATCATTTTAGATTACACTGGTGGATTCAGATCACCTTCTTTACGGGGCAGTTTTTTCCAGGTAAGCCACAAAAAGGAGCCTTTATTCAGTTGTAGAAAATTTTCTTGAACCAAAAGTTAATACAAATACATCAAAGCCAAAGCAAACATACCAAAGCATACCAATTATGCACACGTGGCCTCAAAGGGAGGACAAAAATGGGATGAGATTTGGTGCTCCTAAGCACATACACGGAAGCCACTAGATTTCAGAACAATCACTGTCTTTTTGGACTCGAGCAAAATTCGGCTAAATGGCCACTTAGATGACAGCCCAAACGCAGTCTGTGTGTGGACAGATAGACATCGTAGGACCAGAAATTCGTATAAATGGAAGAGACCAGTGCGCCTTAAATACACAGAGTCTATGTTTACTAATCAGCCAATCAGGTCCCAAAACGTCTTCCGTAGGTAATCTACCCAAAGTTAATATTGGAAACCCAATATATAATAAAAATCAGCGTATAGATTGATGAGCTGGATGTCTTCAACTTCTCCCGAACAAACTCGTTTCAGGCACGGGGCGAGAAACGCAGTCTTCACGCACAGTCAGCCCACTCGTTAATCCTGCCGGCAATTTGAGAGACACACGTACCTTATTTGAAAGCAAACACACACACACACACTCTATATATATATATGCTTTTCGCCTGAAGTGAAGTTTGCATTTGGCTCTCAGACCAAGCCAAGCGGTATCTCGGGGCTATAAGCAATCTCAAATGTATGTGTCCCAGAAGCAATACCACACATCCCTATTTCCTCGTTTTACCTATCTCTGCTGAACTTGCATTTGATCTGTCTGTCTTAATTTGGCCTAATTTGACCTTTTCGAGATTGTACCTAACTATACGCTTACCAGGGCGAGATGGCCTACGTGGTTAGAGCGCTAATTTACTGACCGAAAGGTTCGTGTTTCGAATCCGACCTCCACCACTCGGCTTCCCCTGTCTAGGCTTGGGCAACCTGGCAGTATCCTAGCCCTCGTGCTTCCTTCGGGTGGCATGGCAGCTAGGCACCGGAAGGGTGCTACAGCTGAACGCTATACGCTTACCAGGATATGGCATACGCGAACCACCGGACGAAATGTTATGTTCCTTGCTTACTACTTCATTGTCGTTCATCTATGCGCTTGGATATCTAACATAGTGGTTCCGGGGATGTATTACATTGTTACTCCCATTTCGTTCATTTAGTTCCATCTGAGAGTGATGAAACAACTTCAGAGTTAACCACGGGTCAAGTTGTATGCGGTGGCATTAGCGGGGCACTTCGTACTCGGCGGGGTTCACTGAGAGCCAGACCAACTGACGTACAGAACAGCGTGGCCAAACTCGATCAAGGTCCCCCAAGGAATAGAAAGAAAGGTGTGATGAAGAAAAAGGAAACATCCGGAGAGGAGTTGGAGAAGAGTCGAGACTATGGAAAACTGAAAGCAACCAGGGAGCTGGCACGGAAACAACGTACGAAGATCAAAGACCCAGCATCACTCGCCATTTTAGAAGAAGAAGATGCCTTGGAAGCCGAATGCGAATCGGTGCTTAATGAACTTGCTGCTTGGCGGAAACAAAACATAAAGTAAAGAGCTAACTGACGCTTAGCTTTCTTTGCGCTTTAATTGTTCCCGTCGATACGGTTTACTTTGACCAAATTAAGCAAGACATCAGTACCTCTAGAATGTTCTGTAGATACTGAAAACTGTAGTTCCCCTCGAGTTCTACTACGCGATTACGACTGAAAAATGGTGATAATATCAGTTTTCAGCTGTAGTTCTTAAGCATCATATTCGTTGTTCCATAATCTGAACCCCCCACGCTTGTATTCTCATGCGTTATGTTGTACAGGATTCATCTCTGCTGTACGTCCCTTTGCAGAAGAATTTCCCTATGCGGCCTAAAGTGCAGTTGAGATGCTCCTTGATAAAGCAGCGTTACAGAATTTTCCACTTTGGAGTAATCAACTGCGCGAGTGTAATAGTGAGCTGCGCTGAAAAAAAAACTGAAATTAAACGAAACCCACCCCACAACCTTGAATCACATGACGTGATTCTGCGCTGATGCGGGTTGCTGGTGTTATATCTTGTTAAAGTACAAGTTACGCAGTCGGTCAGAGGACCACCTGTGGATCAAAGGTGATGTTTAAATATTCTTTGACTGCGGATCCGAATCCACATTAGGGATCAAAGATTGTATCTGATTATTGGTAGGAAAGAAACACCACTTAAGGATTCAAATAGTTTTTGAAGCACATCTGAACCATTCTTTCCATGATGAAAACAGAAATTAAAAGAGTATAATCAATGCTGATAAGTGCTGGGACAAACGTATGTCCCACTAAATGACAAACATACCCTTAGTTCTGAACCAATTAGGCTGAATGTGAACGTGCTTCAATCTTGAAAATTGGCAATTAGTCCTTGTTATGCCTAGGCTACGAAACTTACGTTCTTTATTAAGCCAGCTCGGCTACGGAAGACAAAGCATGTCCTTCGGTAATGAAGGAGGTTCGCTATCAAAGCCGCCTACGATGATGATGGAATTTAGGTTGTGGATAGGTTTGGCTGCTGATTCTGTCGTGATTGCTGATTTTAACCACGATTATCATGACGAAGACAATGGGAGAAATAACTGCGATGGTGATCATGATGGTGATTTCGACAACTTAATTGCCTAATTCCCAACTCCCACAACGCCGAATTAATTTGTTTTAGATAGTTTGTAGCTGACCGGAATGGCTAATAGAAGGGGATCACTAATATTGGGGCACATACACAAGGCTGGCTTCCATCCAGTACGGCAGGGTATGGATTTCTTTTATTACACCTGCGCATGTGGTAAAACAAAAAATCGCCCAGGCGTAATACCCTGTCGGTGTCTAGCTGTCATGCTACTCGAAGGGAGCACGAGGGCCTTGATACTGCAGGGTTGCCCAAGCCTAGACAGGGAAGTCGAGAGGCAGAGATCGTGTTCGAACCACGGACCTTCTGGTCAGTAAATTCACGCTCTAACCAATTAGTGAAACAAACCCTCTTCGTGTTCCGTCAGCTTCGAAATTTCAGACGAAAGCTACAGTGTAACTTAGCTTTGTGGTTACTCATCATTTATCGAGAAAATTGGTATATGGGAACAGTTGTATAACGGGATTTATTTTTATGTTATTTGTTAATAACCCATCAGTGTGACTGCCTTGTAATATCTGCCATTTGATGTTCCTTGTAGTCCGGTGAGAAGAATGATGTCATTTATTGGTTCCTAATCTTCAACGAGCTGTATATGTTTCCTAGAACTTCCGAAGTTGGGTGCTGAAAATTCACGTCCTTCGTGTGCATGCCTAAACTTAGCCCACTGTTCGTTGTTTGGGCAGTCGTTCGTGTGACAAACTCTGATTCCACCTCCGTTATTGTTCTGAGACCTTTATTTTTAATGCCTGAGAGAAGTCGTTATTCGATGCGTTCAAAACGAGAAGGATACAAGATGATAGTGCAGCAGATGGCTTTTTCTTCGTTGTGGGTTGTCTCCAACACTCAAGATTATTTCGGTGTTGAATGCTCAAAATCAGAGATGACGACAAAATCAGGAAGGCAAAGCTAAGGATATGGTCGGAATCCAAAAGGTGATTGATAGGATAGTGATTGGATTTTACACGTGAATGGGACACCGCTGTCAACGTCCCGGGTTGTTGCCTAAGAAGTGTTTACGCGGAGCGGCAACCAGCTACTAAAATATTTCCCAGTAGTATGATAAAATTATCGTTGGTATCAAAGGCACGCAGACGACATGATCATAGTCGCTGTCATACGTTGAAGACTATGTGGATTCCCCGACGCCGTTTCCACGTCATTTAGTACTACTGCTACTACTACTACCACTTGTGGCTAAGATATCAACTGATATGTGTGTGAATTGCCTACGTTTTGGTTCCTGCCCAATGGACAAGTTTTACACCAGAATCCATAATTTATTCGGTTGTTTTTAACGATTATTCGTACTGGGATTTGACCATCACACTTCATTAAGAGCTCTAAAGGAGTCGACAACGATTTAGTGATTCTCGTAGACTTCTTGTTTGCTCAAATGCGTATGGATTGTCTGGAGGACTCGGCTGTCTATACAACATTACAACATAAGTGCAACCAAATTTTGTCATCTGAAAAATCCTTCAGTATATTTATCTGGATGACGATGGTGTTGGGGAACTAAGTCTGATAGTCTACAGATTTCGAACTCGGATTTAGCGTCTATCTATCTGTACCATACAAGTGCACCAGCAGCGTGGCTTGGCAATTTGTCGAAGGATAAACATACCATTCAGTTCATGTCGCGAGAAGGGACTGCCACTTTGTAATATTCATAAGGTTGATGGAAGGAAGTAGTGTATGGTGCTGGTGTGCTGCGAATATGTGCAAGGGGAAAATGCCTATTGATGCAGGCTAGCTGAACAAGAGTCAATGTGTTTACCTGAAACTTCATTCTGTTTTTGGATCCGTTCTAGCAGCTCTGAAGTAGCTGCCTTAAAGTTTCAGGCTGGTTTTTATCGGAGTGTGCGATCCCATTACCAGTGTTACTTACTGTAATGTTCCTAGATGGAATCCAGTGGAGGCCGAACCTTTCATCGGAACGACGAGAAAGCATACATTGTTGAAGGTTTCATCTAGCTTCACGAAGTGGTGTAGAAGCGGCTCTTATGTGACATCCTAGGGGCAACTGAGTTTAGCGTTTGGGATTGGCGCTCATCTAGATGTTTATTTTACTCAAAAGCTGATTGGCACAAAACACCGACTGCTTGACGTATGATGAGCAAGGGCTCATTGAATGTTAAACCTTAGAACCTTTGATCATACAACGTTATGATGAGGACCAACTGACTTAGAAAGCTCTCTAGAAGGATCACACGACAGTAGTTGTTGAACTAACAGTCGGTGTTCGGGCATCATCAATTATCTTTTCTCCTGATCACTGCAGGTAAACATAGAAATTAATGAGGCAAACAAATCTCGGGCAATCATACACTGGCCTCCCCGGGTACAATCTGCCCGCATAGCGTTGCTTTCACATCATGATACAGCGTACAAAATGGTGGACTGCTGAGAAGTTCAAGTGAGGAGTCCTGTCAGTTGTAGGTTAATATGAGCAACCTTGACTTAAGTTTGCTGAATCACCCTATCCATGTGAAACTCTCCATTTATCCTTTTTGTAGAAAGATGCCTCCATCAACTCCTCGAATAATTTGATTAATATTTCGTTAGGGCTAATCTTCCTAGCAATTTATTTCTGGGTGAAATTTACCGCTAGACAACCGGGGAAGACTGATCACTGCGATGATTTTGTTAAATAAATAGAACTAGGGATGGAGGACGATTTCGTCTTCAGGGCTGTGATATATAGCCTTTACTCATGTAATTCGTCATCAAAGGTTTTTAATTATTCCTTCGGCTATGTTTTAGATAATGCTCAATAAACGACCTTAAGGAGGTCATTTGTTACTCAAGCAATTTTTTGTAATGGCACGTTTCGATCAAGACGATTGCTTGTCCTGCTGAATTAGACCAAAATGTATAAATCGCTGTAGAAAGATATCCCTTTTGGGTGGATTGCGCAATACGAAATCGGTAGATTTTCATGAGTTCAAATAATAAGAGATTTTAGATATCTGGACGGCCTTTTTAGAAGCAGCACTAGGATATCTCTCAGTGTATTCACATGTTAACAAATTTCTGGTACCGGTGAGTTCTGAGTCAAGCGGTTGTGCGTTTTTATCGTTTATCCAACCTTAGTTTGTCACCTTTATGTGGCCCTTGGGATGTTATGTGGAGGGTTTTCGTCAGGTTGACGTAGAAACTGACTCAAATGCACAGCACAAAAAGAATTCCGAGCATTGGAATTGTACAGTATAAACATGTGACGAATTCAGGTTACATTCTACGCCAAAGAGTATCTTTTCAAGGTTTTTCTTCTAACCGAAGACAAACGCTCATTTTATTTCAGACCGCAGATGTTTCACACAAGGAAGAATGGCATACAGGTCTCTAAGAACCGTCCTAACAACACCGAAAATGATGCAGTCCTCATGTCAACAGATAGCGAAAGTACCCTCGATGACCGCAGTGGAGCCAGTCAAACATCTGCCCGAAGTAGAAGGCTTTCTTCCCCAGAGTCCTCTCAACATTCCATTCCCCCTTTTGAACAAATCGACGAAAAGCCACAAGATAGATGGATGTCTGATGAGGGCGTGGCGAAGTTGAATGGTGACAACGCCATGCCAGGTTTACTGCCGTCCTCACGGCTGTCCAGCTTGTCGTCTAGCATATCTCGACCATTCAACCAGGCGAAGAAAGGGATCGGTTCTTTTCCTGTTCGCACACCTCTGGCCCACTCCGGACTGAAAGTAAGGCAGACTTATTGGCTGAGTTCGGTGTGTTCATCAAGGGTAAACGTGTTTTGTAGATTTAGTCCAATTATTGTGCGAAACTCAACCAAATTAGGTAGATTACTCTTTGGTTTGCGCAGTGTTGACATTACCATAAACATAAGATTACTGTGGTGCACAACACTGGCGCAAAATTCTATTTATGGCAAATAAACCCATTCAATAAATGATCTTACATAGGCCCATTCAATACACGCGTACCTTCGTAAGTCCTCCGCTGGCCTCTGGCTTTCTGTTTCATTCACCTCGGGCTTGAGTCAAACGTTAATGGAGACAAAGGAAGGTCATTACAGCCACGTTTTCACGGCAATCACATTACTGCACACAGGATTTGAGGCAGATAGAACAGCGCCCACCTCAAAGGTTTATTTTATTTGGTCCATATTCCATTTAATCAAAACATACTTTCTTGTCGGTTGCCGGCTCGTCAAGCATCCATCCAAGCGACGCTTTGTTCGACTACCTTGACCGGTCCTCCTGCGGACTAATATACAGGATTAATACTCGCACACTTCCAGGTAGTCTGATGGCAACATTATAAGTTCTAAGAATGTAAATTCCATAGAATGAAACAGCGCTTCTTAATCAACAATGTACAGTTCTACTTACGAAGCTGTTGGAAACTCGTCAGCAGATCACTACTGGCTTCACCGCGTTTGGAACCAATCAAAGGTTACTTTCGAGCCTCGGCTTAAAACCGCTTCACCTTTCGAATATATCTCAAATTTGGATCTCGAATACAAAACAGTGCTTACGGATACTCGAGGGTACGTGAATCCGACAAGAGAGACCCGATAATGAACTATTGGAGGGCTTTCAGCAAACTTACGGGCACTTTTCGTTTCAGAAGAGCTTGATAAACAATCGGTAGTTTTTATCTGGGCAACGTTTCGCTTTTGACACGAAAGCTTCATCAGGCCAAGTGAACAGGTCACCAAATTGGCCAGGTTATAAGACAGACGGGGAACGAATCAGCAAGTCCTCTTCAAACTAGATCAGTGTTGAGTGTCAATTAACAGCTCTTGTCGGCTAGCGTGGGTGTCAAAATCTTGAATTGGTGGGTTGGAGGAGTTTCAAATTACTTCCGATCGCTTTTTGTTCCTTAATCTTCCACTTCAGGGTGCTTCACTTGATGATTCACCCCGGATGCCACTGGCAGATCCTTGATCATCGGGGGACGTGAATGTTACGACAATTTAGTTGGGGGGAAGGGAGGTGCGTAAGGTTAAGTGGAGTTCAGGTGGTGACCACTCTTCCCTCTGATGATCGCACACCAACACGTGTTAACTCGAGTGACCAAAGACCGTTCTCCACACGCTTGCCAGTTCCACGCCTTCCATCCTGTTAACGCTGGGATGCTTGGCGATTTCTACTGCCTCTGCTATTAGTCTCTGTGAGGTGGACCGTAGTCCTCGCCTCAAAACCTCAACATTTTCTAAGTCTATTTTGTGCCCCGTATCCAGTGCGCGTTCCGCGATTGCCGAGTCTTTCAGTAATGCTTGATATTCATCTGCGTTTCTCGGCGGCCTGTTTATTTTTCTACTATGCTCTCTGACTCTGATGTGTAGTTCCCTGGCCGTCTGTCCTATATAGACGTTGTTTCAGTCGTTACACTTTATTTTGTAGACACAGTCCCTAGTCCTGTTTGCCGGGAGGCGATCCTTTATTTGCACCAGTGCAGAGCGCAGAGTGTTCCCCCTTTGGAAAGCTACTCTTATGTTAGCTGTGTTTAAAATTCTTCGAATTGCCTCCGATGTCCCTGGTTTATATGGGATTACAGCGGTCCCGATCCATTCCCTGTTGGGTTTCCCTACCGGTAACAGCACCCTTCGCAATTGGCGCTTAATCAAGCTAGCTGGATACCCACTACCCCGAAGTTTGCCCTTTACTTCAATTTGGGCCGCTGTCCGATCAGCTTCTTCTGTGCACAGGGCCCTTACGCGCCTAAACATTGATGACGCAATACTGGCGAATACCGATTTCGGATGGGCAGATGAGTAGTTCAAAACTGCACCAGCGTCGGTTGGCTTCTCGTACACTGTGGTCTTTAGTCTCCCCCCAACCTTTTGTGTCATGCAGTCTAAGAAGGCCAGTGTGCCCGAGGTTGACTCCATCTCCTTACTAAATTTGATCTGTGGACTCAGTTCATTCAGATAATTGTAAAACTCACTAACCTTATCCCGTTTCATGACGACGAAGATGTCATTTACATACCGCCAGAATATCCTAGGTGGGTAGGGGAATCCGGCTAAAGCTCTCTGTTTAAATTCTTCCATTAATATATTTGCCAAAACCGGGGATATTGGAGATCCTATTGCTAGACCTTGTTCTTGAGTATAAACCACTGAGTATAAACCACTGAGTTGGGTGAGGTTCAGACAGGCTTTTATGCCTTCCACTATTTCATCTACCGTAATCTGTGTTCTTTCTGAGAGCGTGGTGTCCGCTAACAGCAGTCGCTTGGCTATTTCTAAAGAATCCCCTTTTGGCACATTTGTATATAAGGAATTCACATCGAAACTTACAAGGATGTCATCTGGTTCAACTGTGACACCCGCTACTTTGTTGGCTGAGTCTGAATATCGGTCAAACTGAGTCTCGAATCAGTCTTATCTCTGCTCATTCGGTCAACAGTGTCACTGATGAGAAAGATGTTCCAGTCTCACTTTAACGCCAACCCTATTTGCAAACTTTTTATTTAACTCCATTACTTCTTATTTAATCAGGGTGGATAAAATAGACATATGAAACCACATTACCAAGTAATAAAATAGCATTGTGATTGTATGAAATGATAACTTTCTGTGATGCAGTATTTAGCACAACTTTTATCCCCCCAAAGATCAGGTCAGTCATATCAAAAGGACTTTAGAATGTAGAGTGGATACTGTAGAAAACGGAATGGTAGTCATAGCTGGTATGTACAGAAACCTTGTAAATCTCCGCAACACGAGGCTTTTTTCGTTCTTTGGAGCAAGTACGGGTTCGGTCACCTGGCTCACTGACTAACATCATCATGATGACATCAGCGTTCAACACTTCGTTGCCTTACGAAAATGATTGGCTTCAAAGCCTTATTGTGAAAAAGAGAATAAAGTGGACGGGAATGGGACTTAACGCTGGCTTCCTACAATCATACAGAGGTGCCCACATATCCAGACACTCATTCAGGAAATCTGAATAGAAACTGGTAACAAGAAGGCAATTGACATCGATTAACAGTTATATTTTGTAGCATCTTCAACTAGGCACAGTGTGGGTCACGCGGTCCTCAGCGGTAGCACCCAAACATTTCGTAATCTCTCATACTCCTCTGGCAGGTCAAGGGTTGGGCACCGGCTAGCATTTTTCATGCCACCGCTCTCCAGACCAAGATTCTGTTGATCGATTATATATACATATATATATATATATATATATATATA